ATATATATATATATATATATATATATATATATGTTTTTTTTGAGAGAGAGACAGACTGATTGATTGACAGACTGACTTATTATGTAGTCCCAACTGTCCTACAGCTCAAGAGATGAAGATCTCCCAAAAGTGCTAGGCTGGAAGCATGGACCACTAAGCCAGGTCATATGCATTTTCAAAAAAAGTCTTTAGTTTATTAAATTGTATAAGATACATTCACCATCATTTTCATTCTCTTCCTACATCACCTCATTTAGAATATAACAGACAAAAGGCACAAGAGGTTACGTATAAGACTGTTCAAAACGCTAAGCTGTGTAGAGTTTAGGTGAGCACATCCGCGCGCACACACACACACACTTTAAAAAAAAATGTTACTGGCTGGACTATTTTTTTAATATGCCTCCTCCTCCTCCCCTTCTTCCTTCTACTCTTCCTTTTTCTGCCTTCTCCCTTCCATTCTCCTCTTCCTCTTGAGAAACGTTTTCTGGAACTAAGTCTTTTTTCCCCTGTATTAATCGTTCTTTCGTTCCTGTCACCTAGGTTCCACACTGTGTGGGTTCCTCCACTCTGTAGTTTATTCTGTGGTCAACACTCCAATCGATGTGCTCGTCCTCTCAAACATCAACCACAACCCTCCTTCCTTCACTTTCTTTCTCCTACTTCCTCCAGTTTAACTACACACTACCAGCAATTTCGTTATGTTGTTCCTCTATTCAAGGAATTCCAAAGGCTTCCTTCCCATTAACCACAGGGGAAATGTGCAACCTTCTCCAGCCCCCATGAATCCTTACATACCTCCCACAGGTCCCCAGCATGTTTCTGTTGGGCTTGTTTTATTGTTTTCTAAGGTATTTTTCCTTTTAAGGCTTTTCAAGTTATTATCCTCACTGCTTACTTTACATATTTTCTTTTGCTCATTCAGATCCTATCATTACTTCAATGGCCAGCCAGCTTAAATAATTACTTTATTTCAAGGCCTTTCTTCATGGTTCTCGAACACTAATCATATTGCAAACTGTTTCTGTAGCTTATTGTGGCTTTTTTTTCTTTAAGTTCCAGTGGCCTTTTATTGAGATCAATTAACAAAAAGAAATAAGGTTTTACTAACCATCTTTTCTGAACCGTGTATAAACTCCATAAAGACTCAGGTCCATAAACATGTACATACAATGTAACACATCCCAACAAAAACATACTACATCGCCCCCCTGAACATTTTGCAAATTAAACAGAAAGCAGATTTTCCCTTTCCCGTAATGTTTTCCAAATTTTAAGTTCCCACTGTTTAAAGTGGAACTGGTCCCATGTAACTAGGAACATTAGAATTATTGTGGCTTTTACATACTGATTTGTTCTTCACCCATTAGCCCTGAATCACCTGAGGTAGGATATTCTAGTTAAGCCGTGTCTGTGTTTTCTATCCCAGTTAATCCAAAGCTAAGCATAACGTATGTTCAGTGACTGGTAGTTCCATCATGGTCCAGGGGTTCCAGGAAGCCCATTTATACAAAACACAAACGCTTGTCCTCTGCATACAACTTGTGTTTTCCCTCAAACTCGTCTCCTACCTACTTGACACAGTTCCTAATCTTCTACTTGTGGGCAAACTTCCCTTTGATTCTAAGCTAGGGATGGAGATGTAGCTCAGTGGTAGAATGTATGTGCACAAATCTCTGAGTTTGATCCTCAGCAAAATTCCCATGCACACACATACATACACACTCACGCATGTGCACACACATAATTTAAACTGATTTTCACTTTCCTAGTTTATATAAAATTTATCTTTTTTGAATCTGTTTTATTCCTTGGTATATCTCATTCCATTGAGAATCTCTCCTGTTCAGCTTAATAAATACTGAAGGAAGCAATAAAATTCATCCCTACTTGCCACAGTTAATTCTGCCTCTCCTTGTGTATTTTCTCCTTTACTTACCACGTTTTTCTAATATTTGTATTAAATCGCTAGCTAATTTATGTATTTGTCTCCATTTCAATCTGCCAGCCTCAGTGAATTCAGTATGTCTAATTCCCATAATCCCAGGCTTCTTGAGCATCTCTCACTGAGCCACTTCAACAGCCCCTTTCAGTAACCCCACCCCCATCTTTCTTAGAACCACTTTAAATCCTAAACAGATTTGGGATAAGGATGTAATTCTAAAACACAGATTGCTGAGCTGTGCTCATAGCTTTTAATTCAGTACATTCAGCATTAGTGTTCATTCTTAGTTATACCAAGGAATTAAAAGAAAAATATGTCTTCATTCTCAGAAATTGTGATTTAAAAAGCTTGCATTTGGGTAGTCATAGTGTTTCCCAGTTCATTTTACTGTGCATCAAAGATTGAAAACTGGTGTCTTAGGGTGGGATGTGAGTCAGGACCTCAACATCCTACACCAGAGTAACTCTATGCTCAGTGTTGCTTGAGACCTGTGTCAGGAATCTTCTGAATAGAACTCGACATAAAGGTAGTGTCAGAATCTATCAGTTTCTAGCATTCTCTCTCCCATCCTGGCACCCCTCTTTAAACATTCAGAATATAACTTAAATTTTTGGCCTTATTTAGGATCAGCATAATCTGGCCTCTTCTTCACTTTAGTAAGCTGGCACTCTTACTGGTTTCCACACCGTCATAACCATGGCACACTAATTTTCTGAAAAAGCCATGATTACAAGGCCACTTGAATTGAAATATAGACTCAAGTTGGAAAGATGGGGCTATTAATTTGGGCAAGAAGGAAGAATCCCTAAAAGGTGCTTCAAAGTTACTGATGTCAATTAAGATACTAAACAAACTTTGAGTTCTGCTTAAGCCCTCCAGAGTCTGAAAGTAAACCAGGAGGCCATAAACTGTCTTTCCCTTTCCACCATATTCCATCAAGCCTTCCCCACTCCACTGGAGAAGACAATCATTCCAGATGCCCTCCCTGGCTTTCCTGATCTTCAGATGTCAGCATATTTTTTCCTTAAGCCTTTTATTGTGATGCCTCAAAATTTCAGCCAGAAAATCCTCTTGAAAAACACGCAGACACACTTGCAGTGTTCTCTTAAAAGTTCCATTGAAAAATCCAGCAGTATCAATGTCGAAAGACATTTTAAGGCACCACCAGAAACTGCCTCAAAATCCCAAGTTTTCTATTCCAAACTGTTTTTATCCTCAATGTTTACTTAAAGATTTAAAAAATTCATAAACTATAGTCTTTTTGACTAGCCCACAATCCTGAAAAACATGTCTTTGCAATTCATTTGGTAGCCAAAAATGTGAATGTGACTTGAAATGGCATAAGGCAAGTAACAGTTTTTTAACCTTATTCTATTTAACAGAACAGACAGTACACTGTCTACAGTTTTAAATACTACTGACGCTGGGAAATTGGCCCACTGTAGGTATTACATGTGATAATACTTAAAAGGATTACTTTCTTAAAATCTGAAAAACGTGAAATTACTAAGACCTATGGGTGTCAGGTAACAAATGTTAGACGTCCATCCACACTACCAGCTTCTATAGGTTCCAAACTTTTCTTTCAGATATAAATATATATATATATATATATATCTGAATATATAACTAATTATATATAACTAATATATAATAAATAATAAATGTTATTATATAATATATTTGTATTATATATAAATGATTTGGGAAAAAGTACTTGCTGTTAGAAACTAAACTCATTCATATCTAAAAGCAGATACGTTTTCCCCCTTAACCACCTTAGGAAGTGTGGGGTGAGGACTCACACCAGAGGTCTTCCCTGACTTCCATACTCATATACCCACACCCACACGTATGCACACACTAGACACATACACAGACTTGAAACAAACAAACCACATTGACATTAAGAAGTCCTACATAATAAGCTCTGAAAACCCTGGGCACCAGCAGACTACAATATGAATGACAAATTGCTTCAAAGCATCTCCCAAGGTAATCCCTAACTACACCTGCAATTTACCAATCAGTTGTAGCTATGCTTTTAAATGTGTCATTGCTGTCCACAATTTGCTGCACTGACTTAGGATAAAAGAGTTGTCTTTAACAATTTCCAGTTATTACAGGCTTCAGACATTTTTGAAAAACCTACCAAATCATAACATTATCCTGATACTAATACTTTATAAAGAACAGTCAGCTATTTTAGTAAGTTCTTAGTCATTTAGGAGGGCGGCTTCTAGAAACTAATTGCAAGCAGAAATTTTTTAAATGTATAATAGTCCCTAAACTTTTACTATTTTGTCACGTACAGATGCACGGACAAGTCATAATCTTTAAATACATGAAAGCAAACTTGCCCAAAGTATTTAAATAGTATGTCAAATAAAAATGTCAAAACCAGAGGTTAATTATAAAGCAACCAGACTCTCAACCACTAAGTACAAACAGGGGGAAGGGAGAGAGGGGATATGTCCCATGACATCATTTGGCAGCATGGAGTTTTGAAGGCTGAGAGTGCCTTCCAAATAACCCTTGCAAAATCCAGCTGGGAAATTACCCAGGTTAAGCTTAGAGAACCGAGTTTTAAAAGAAGAAAAAGCCTCTCTCCTTCATATGCCAGTACCGTATGAAAAAGATAAAAGCATCCAGGGATGCATCTGCCTCCCACTACCCCATAGGAACGGAAAGGTCAGAATTAGGCGGAAATTCGCCTCAGAGACTGTTCAATCTGAGGGGAAGAAAGGACCGCGAAAGCGAAGCGAAGCGCTGCCTCGGTGCCCACAGGCAGGTTTTCCCTGTGAAAAACCTCACTGCCGCCCAACTGACACCGATGCTCGTCCACCAGAGGATGCCGACCCTCTGGACAAAGTCGGGAGCCAGACCCCCGAGAACAAGCAAACACCCAGCATCAGGCAGAGAGAGGACCGCTCTCCCCGAGCGTGGAAGGCGCGGGTCCCAAGTGGTGGCCGCTGCCCTCGAGGCGCGAATTGCCCGGTGTCCCCTCTCCAGGCCGCCTTCACCCGCCGCCCGGGCGCCCCCCGGCCCCCGCCGCACCTACCGCGGCTGCGCCGGCCGTCACGATGGGCGGCAGCTTCTCGCGCTCCGGCTCTTTCCCCTTCCTCTCCTCAGAGGCGGCCGCGGCCACCGCCGGCGGCGCTCCGGGCGAGAGATCCCGAGCCGCCTCACTCATGTCTGCCTCACTCATGTCTGGCCCGGACGGCTGCGGCGCGAGGCGGCGGCGGCGGCCGGACTGCAG